CAGGTGGGACGGGGGGGTCCCATCGCCGTGGGGCGGGTGCCGATGGGTGCTGTGCCGCAGGGATGCCGTCGCAGCCCACCTCCCTGCACTACGCGAGCCCCTACCAGCTGAGCGCCTACGCGCTGGCGCTGAAGGCGGTGGGGGAGATCATCCAGGACTACGACAGCGACAAACTCTTCCCCGCCTACGGCTTCGGCGCCAAACTCCCCCCCGATGGCAAGATCTCCCACCAGTTCCCCCTGATGGGTGCTGTGCCGCAGGGATGCCGTCGCAGCCCACCTCCCTGCACTACGCGAGCCCCTACCAGCTGAGCGCCTACGCGCTGGCGCTGAAGGCGGTGGGGGAGATCATCCAGGACTACGACAGCGACAAACTCTTCCCCGCCTACGGCTTCGGCGCCAAACTCCCCCCCGATGGCAAGATCTCCCACCAGTTCCCCCTGGTGCGCCCCGGGAAAGGGGGGGACACCAGGGTTGGGGTACCCACAGGAGCTTGGCTTTGGGGGGAAAGCATCTGCCCCACCTGCAGCCTTCCCCAGCATCCCACAGCCGGGGCGGGGGGGACACTGGGAGCTGTGGTCCCCCTCCAAGCGTCTGTCACCATCCCCCAGAACAACAACGCGGAGAACCCCAGCTGCGCCGGCATCGAGGGCGTGCTGGAGTCCTACCTGCAGAGCCTGCGCACCGTTCAGCTCTACGGCCCCACCAACTTCGCCCCCGTCATCAACCAGGTGGCTGGGTGAGCACCAGGGGACTCTCTTCCCTTTACTGTCCCCAAACGCCATCGGTCCCACAGCAGGGCTGCTGGAAGGACCCCATGACTTGTCCCCCCCAACATAGGACGGCTGCCCAGGTGACCGATGGCTCGCAGTACCATGTCCTCCTCATCATCACCGATGGCGTCATCTCCGACATGATGCAGACCAAGGAAGCCATCGTCACCGTAAGGGCATTCTTGTCACCATGAGTCCACCCCACCCCATGGGTGATGCCCCAGCTGCCATCTTGCTTCTGCCCCACAGGCTTCTGCCTTGCCCATGTCCATCATCATCGTGGGAGTGGGGCCGGCTGAGTTTGAGGGTGAGTTGGGGCTTGGGGACACCAGGGAAAGGGGGACGGGAACGGTGTCCCTTCCT